CAGGGAAGAGCAACAAAAATGATTAAAGGTCTAGAAAACATGACCGATGAGGGAAGATTGAATGAATTAGGTTGAATTGGTCTGGAAAAAAGATAATTGAGAGAGGATATGATAGCAGCTTTCAAGTACCAAAAAAAGGTGTTATAAGGAGGAAGAAGAAAAATTATTCTCCTTTAAACTCCTCTGATAGGACAATAAGCAATGAGCTTAAATTGTAGCAAGGGAGGTTTAGATCAGCCATTAGGAAAAACTTCCTAATTGTCAGGGTGGGTAAGCGCTGGAATAAATTGCCTTGGGAGGTTGTACAATCTCTGTCATTGGAGATATTTAAGAGCAGGATAGATGAACACCCATTGGGATGATCTAGATGATGCTTGGTTCCACTGTGAGTGCAGGGGACTGGACTGGACTTCTCCAGCTCCCTTCCAGTTCTAGCATTCTAGTCTATACCCCAGCAGTCCAGCTTTTGGTATCCTATAGGTAAGCCTTTAGTTTATCATTTTACCTTCTCGTTGGAATTCATTTGCTTTTTGAAATAAAGCAAATAGGCAGAGAGATGAGAAGCCTTTAGTTTATCATTTTACCTTCTCATTGGAATTCATTTGCTTTTTTAAATAAAGCAAATAGGCAGAGAGATGTGTGCTACAATAGAAAAATTGAGCCATCTAGGCAAGTAGCTTCATAGCCTGTCCCCTCTTTCTGTAAGTGGTTTATAATTTTTCTTACTGGAACACACAAGCAAGGACAAATTCATCTATTTGCCTATGTGCCACCATTCTGAATGAATTATAAATACGCAGCTAGAAGTTACACCTACCTAATAGGGTATTTAAAGATTACAGTCTTTATCTGAACGTGTCTTTTAATCGGCAATGGAAGGCATTGCAGTATCTTGATTTAAAGATTACAGTCTTTATCTGAACGTATCTTTTAATCAGCAATGGAAGGCATTGCAGTATCTTATGAGTGCCTCTCCTTAATTCTATATAGAGTAATTGGATAGCCTGAAAGGCAACCTTGTAAGTCTTACTGGTGAAAAACAGCTAGTGACGTTTTAAAGTTACATAGGAAGTTCACTGGGGAAATCATTGATGCCCACAGTGTAAACATCCGTATGTATATGTAAGGAAAATAGCTTCACACAGTATCTGAGGATGGTGAAGATACATTTTACTTTCAACACTCTCAAAAAATTTCTAGGTAGTATTTTTTTAATTGTTTTTAATTCCTTAATTTATATTTGAGCAGCAACTAGTTGACTTCCAAATAATGTATAAAAACAACTGGAAGAATTTTATTAGAATTCAATATTTTATACATTCTCTTTGAATACATTCTGGTAGCGTGGACTCTCAGCAACTTTTAAATCTAAGGCCTTCTCTATATTGAAAACTATTCCAGTTTGGGTCCCTGGCAGCCGGTAACTTGTGTAGCTGCACTGATGCAAACCCCTTAACATAAACAAGGAAAGTCATGAGATGCACTGAGGGACCTTACCCTTGTTTGCATCCAGCAAATGGCTGGTTTCCTTTTCTCTGTTTTAAAGGTGGGAGTTTGGAGGCATTAGCCCAACTCTCCTCCCTTAGAAATCAATGGGATATTTTACCCTTCACTTCATTAGGCAAAGAGGGAGGTTAGAACTGGGTGCTTTTAAAAATCCTCCCTGTCCGTGAGGGCTTTGTATCAGTTGCAGGCCAGTGTCTGCTGGAGGATGGTCTAATTCCCATAAGAGCAGAGGCAAACAACAACAATGAAAGTAAAAACAATGCTAAGGAGCACATTTCCTTACATTGTAAATACACAGATAAAGGGAAACCGTTAAAAAAACAAAAGTCAACAAAGAGCATGGTGCAGTCCCATTGCCTTGTTTGAGTATTGTGGGGAAGGGTGAGAGATATGGAAAGGCCCTAGTTATGCTGCAGCTTTTCCATACCAATCTTGACAAGTGATGAATTTGTCCTGGCCACTAAAGATACGTCAAAACAGGTTTGTTTGTTTTTTAAAGGTGTCTACAACTATTCTTGAGCCTAGGCTGGTTTTGAAGAGGATATACTTTTTTTTCAGATTTTTATTTATTTGGTTTTGTGCTGTCTACTCTGGGTGGTATAAGTAGGTTATCTGTAGGAGCTCTCCAGGAGCAACTCTGCATATGGTTCAGGCAATAATGCAGACGAGGCTAAAGACAACAAGAAGTAAACGCATAAGTAAGCAGGTAATGCAGACGAGGCTAAAGACAACAAGGAGTAAATGCATAAGTAAGCAGGCAAGTTTGCATTCTCCAGTTTTTCTACGTTGAGCATCTCATCATAAATCCATTGTCCCGCTAGGACTCTGAAACCTGGCAAGGTGCGTGGGCCTCATACCTAAGCGGGAATGCCTACACTGCTATATTTAGAGCCATAGCATGAGCTCCATGAGCACAAGTCTGTTGACCCAGGCCCTGTGATGTGTGTGTCTGTCATGTTTTGGTTTGGTTCAGAGTTTTTCAGTGTAGACATACATTTATACCTGGTTTTACAATGCAGTGTAGACATAATGTCTTCACAAACTCCTGTTCTTAAATGTAACCTCATTCAGCACACTCCCTTTGGATCCCATAGTGAACAATATTTGTTCTCTTCCACCATGGGAGGAGGAGCTTGTGTTTCAGCTGCTGATTTGATTGCTGCTCAGCCACTCAACCTCCATCAGAAAGGACAGTTGCAATTTGATCAGGCATGTTGTACATATCTAAGATCACAACATATTTTCTAACTTTGGCAAGGCTTTCATGAAGTAAAATGTCCATATCTAAGATCACAACATATTTTCTAACTTTGACAAGGCTTTCATGAAGTAAAGTCTGTTCCTGCAAGAATGTGTCCTCTTTGTCAGTTTTCCCCAATTTCAGCCGTTGGTGACCAGCACCATGCATCAGTTCAATCCTCTAGTATAGGCAATGAAAGGTGAAACTTGGACTGGTGCTGATTATTCCTGCTTGAAACACGGGTGAAGTCCTCCAGTGTAAGTTGCAGCTTTCCTAGTCTATGCTATGGGTCCATCTTTGTGCAGTTACAGCAATAGCTGGCCGCTAGTGAGTGAAATCAGACACCTCCCAGTGTAAAATCAAGGCTTTTGTCTTGTGAGGCAGATATGGATGAGCTACAAAAAAATGCCAGCTAGGAATGTGGTTTGCTGTTCTACATTAGACCATTGGCCCATCCTGTCCAGCATCCTCATGCTCCAGAAGAAGTCAGGACACAACTTGACCCTTAATGGTAGTAAGTAATTTGACTTTTTACCTTTCTACAGATCAGTATTAATGTGGTAATTCCGACACATTGATATCCCGGTGGGGTGGCAGCAAAGATTTGTTTGTATTAACTTACTGAAATCTTCTTACTGGTGGCAGAAGAGACTGTACTGATGGTGCTAGAGACTCAAGTGGCCTGTTTATCCAAATTGCACATTGGTGACTGCACAAGCCTTCCCCACACTGTCCCACTAATTTGCCTCAACTGGCACTTAAAGGACCAACTTCTGGAAGTGAGACGGATAGTCCCGTTTTCCTGCACATGTAAATGTGTGTCGCCTTGCTCGGGTTGCTGGCAAAGATTGCATTCTCAATTGTGGTGATCTTGTGATGTGGCAGCTACCCAAAGCGCTGTCTGAGCCCACCGAATGCATTTCAGATAAGCATCAGGTTGTAACGGGCAGCAACTACCTCCCTAAACCACATAGAGACTTGTGATGTAGCAGTAAAAGACTTCCCGTTACCAGCCCCTTGCGCTACCCAGAGCCATACCAGAGACTTTTTTATAGGCTTCTTAAACTGACTAAATAAAGAATTTTAAAAGTGGAGCCTGAAGCATTTGGTTAGAGCAGGCTCTGGAAGCTCACTCGACCACAAACGGCAGCTAGTGGGGGAGGGGTTAAAAATAGCCAGAATCTATAAACAAAAGCAAAGGAGAAGTGAGTAAGAGCCTGTATTAAAGTCTGTACTGTTTGTGGCATAGTCAGATGTCTCCTGCTCCTGGCTGCCAGATTCCAAATTGCTAAAAAGAGGCAGCAGCCTCCCAGCCGCCCATGCACATGTATCCTTTCGGAGGATCTTCATGCTGAGTGTCAACAGCACGTTGGTGGTGTGGTACATCTCCCCCAGTGGCCTCACATCTACTGTACGCTGAATTAGAGAGATGATGGGAGTAAGTCCCGAGGGAGAGTATCCCCAGGAGAGCTCTTGGTAAGGAGAAGTAGCTGTCCATCAATCTCTCTGAAATCTATTGAGAGAAGAGAGTGATGCTAGAGCAGTGGTCACCAACCAGTAGATTAAGATCAACCGGTAGATCTTGGAGCCTCTGCCAGGAGATCCTGACTGGTTTGGCTGGGAGGCTATCAAGTGCCAGCACTTCAGCTGCCCCTCCACCACTGCCTTGCTGCTGCAGCTCAGAGCTGCCCCTGGGAGCCTCCTGCTTGTTGTGCAATGAGGGAAACAGGCAGGGGGGTATTGATGTCACACTTTCTCCCTCCCCGGTACGCTGTCTTCACAGAGTGAGGAGGGTGGGACCTCGGCAAAGGAGTGGGGCAGGGGTATTTGGGTTTGAAGTAGATCCTGGACTGACTTAAATTCAAAGTGATTTTGTGCTTTAAAAGGTTGGAGACCACTGTGCTAGAGGAACCCACTGGTCAACATGTTTGCGTCCCTCTCTCTGCCTGACATACAACAGATGAGTCTGTTCCAGTCTCTTTAGTTTAATCTGAACAGACTTAAGTTTTCTGTTCTGGAGGTCCCCTAATTCCATTCCTAATGCATGCTAGCTGGCATGTCTTTTTTTGTGTTTAAAAAAAAAGTGCCTGTACTCCAGGGGAGAAATTGTTCAGCTCTGTCTGAAGGTGCCGGTACACTGCTAGCCGGCATATGGCTTGTTGCACCACTTTGTCTGTTATTTAATTACTTAGGGTTATAGAGGCACGTGGCCATTACAAGGCATGGTATAATTCCTGTATTTCCACTGTATGTAGAGATGCTGAGATGCCAGCAGTCTACGTTAAGATGAAAATGGGGTAGGAGCTGACCATGCAGGGAAGTATAGGAAGAGGAAAGGATGCAGCAGAGGTCAGTACAACAGTGTGGTCTTTGGGGAGGCAAATGCAATGTTGAGAGAGTATCAAATGAGTACTGGATGTTTAAAATGTATTAGTTGCTTTTTTTTCCACAGTGAAAGGCTGTATCCTATAATTCTCCTGGAACCTGTAAGATTGGGAAACAGACATGGAGGAAAGGAAGTGAAAGTTTCATCTTTCATTGCCTATACTAGAGGATTGAACTGATGCACGGTGCTGGTCACCAATGGCTGAAATTGGGGAAAACTGACAAAGAGGACACAGAATTCTTGCAGGGACTGACCCTACTTCATGAAAACAAGTAGGGTTGCCAGATGGTTTCAAAAGAATACCGGACAAAAAATTGATACAAATTTGTCAAGCAAAAACACCCAAAACACTGGGGAAAATGTGTTGACTGAAAAAACCCACTGGGGAATAACCAGGGAGACCTGGAGGAGGGGGGGGGCAGAAATGCAGTTGTGGCCCCTTTAATTGCCATGTGTCCCGAGCAGGCTTCTGTTGGGTGCCAAGCCAGGCCTGGGAAAAGCAGAAAAACTTCCTGAATTAGAAAATACTGGACATTTATATGGCTGGGATTTTCTCAATTTGTTTACTGGACACAAAGTCCAAATACCGGACTGTCCAGTTCAATACTGAACACCTGGCAACCCTATCAGCAAGGGGATCCTAGGCACATGGATCCCCATGAAAGCAGGTACAGAATTGGATGTGGGAAAAGGATACAAAGGGGTTGTAGTAAAGTGGCCATAACAGGGTTAACTGGCTTATCCAGAGTATTATGGATACCCCCTTCCTTCCTCCTCTTAAGGGGGAGTTTTCCCTCCAGTCAGGGATGCAATTGAATAAAGCACCAAAAGGGATCATCCACACAGGCAGCTTGCTCTAAGCAAACCCCACCACCAGCCCAGTCACTCCAGCGTATGAGTGAACCTTGTGAGCTACAGGAGGAGTAACAGTGCCAGCCTGGATGGTTGACCTCTGCCTGTAACACTGAAAAGTTAGTTGTGTGGGAGATCATCATCTAGGGCTGAGGAGAAGTCTTATGTCTTGTAGTGCTGTGGAATGCCCTTTAAAATGAGTGGCTTTTCTAACAGCTCTTCCCTAGATAAGCAGGTTATCTAAGGCTGTTTCTGATTTTTTTTAAAAGGCTTAAAACCTTCCTCTGCCTCAATGACACACTTCATACATTTAAATTGCCACAATTAGGCTTCTGTGTTGACACCCTATTGAGATGGATGGGGCAGTTCACACTGCAGTGCTATTGTCTTGGGTCTTGATTACACTAGAGTCTCTTTATTTTGAGGTAGCTGATTAGTCATTGAGCTCCAGGTGGTAACAAGTTTCTAAAGGCTGGCCTCGATACCCTGCCCCTCCCAGCATAAAACAAAAAAATCAAACCCCAGAACTGGAATTTGTTTCAAAGTGCTGATATTTTGTGTTTATCTTTGGCTTCTCTGCCAAAATTCAAATGTGTTTACAGCTAACTCACTAGAAAATTGTAGTGGAGACTAGAAGCTGCTGTTTCCCTCAGTGTAGTTGGGTAGGTCAATCCCAGGTGGGGGATAACCTTGATCAAGTACAGCAAAGTAAAAACTACCTGTTTTACTTCCAATAACAAGCTTGATGTTAAAACACATCTTGTGTTTTTGTTTTTAGTGATGATAAAAGCCTTAGGTTGTCGGTTAACTTGAAATAAAAAGTGGAGTGTAGGAAAGCCTTCAGGTATTAGTGCTTCTGTTTACATTCCACAGTTTATTCTCACAACTAGAAAGGTTAGACACTTTCTTTTTAATTAAAGCTTAAATGGCGTAGTTAGAAGGAGGAATGTTAAAGATCTGCAGGAGAACCAAGAGGCTTAGTGAGAATACAAATTCCACACAAGCATTGCTGGTGGCTCTGCTCATTAAAATCGTGCTCAGATTTGGCACTGTGAGAAGAAAAAACAACTTCAAATATAACAGCTCATCAGTATACATAAACCAGCTAGAATTCCAGCTGCTACATGATACAAAGTGTTCTTGAGCAGAAAGGGCCACCACTTGAATACATAATGCATAATAAAGTGCCTGACATAAAATAATAAATCATGGCACTGGTGCAGCAGTGCTGAGGCATTGTTTCTGAACCTGTATCCCTTTGTAAATGTTACCAGGGATGTGAATACTGATCCCAAGTAAACCATTCCAACGGATTGGTTTGCACACATTTACTGATCCCAAGTAAACCATTCCAACGGGTTGGTTTGCACACATTTTTTTTACAGTATTTCCTCATTTAACACTATAGATATGTTTCAGAAAATGATCGTGTTAAGTGAAAACGTGTTATGCGGGGTCAGTTTTCCCATTGAAAATAATGGAAAAGGTGGGGGTTGCGTTTCAAGCGGTGGTGTCTGTTGGGACCGGGACATAAGCTTGGGGGAGAAAGGGGACTGGGTTACAGCAGGGAGGGGAGGTGTTTGGCTCTGGGGAAGGGAAGGGGGATTGGGATTGGGTTGGAAGTATGCCCCTGTGATGGGTCTGCTGGGACCCGCACTGCGTCCAGCGAGAGGGCGTCACTGGGGAATGGCGCAGCAAGCGGCGAACCCTCCGCCGCTTTGCAGGGAGGCGAGGGAAGCCCCGTGCAGCCACTGGCGACGGGCCAGCTGGGGAAATTGTGTTATTCCGGGGGCGGATGTGTAATTCAAAAAAGTTCCCCCCCCCCAAAAAAAAATCATGCTATCGCAAAAACGTGTTAAGCAGGCACGTGTTAAATGAGGAATTACTGTATTCCATTTTAACTAAAATCATTTGAGGAACTTATATAGCTCATGTCAATGCAGTTTTAGCAGTATAAAGCTGATTATATCCAGATGTTAATTGATATAAGCACCTTTATATAGGTATATTTATTTTAATATATAAATTACCTATGTTACTAACAACACCTACAATTTATTTAAACTCCAAGAATTTTGAAAAACAATCTAAATTGCTTTATCACCATTTGTACTGTTTGTTTGCTTTAGTTCAGTGTAGACACTGCAAATCATCTTGACACTGCAATCATTTCTAAGTTTCACTTTCTGATTCTCCTATTGTAAAACAACACAGATCTGTTGGTTTGTAGACACCATGGGGCTATTTCAAGTCAAACAACCCATATTTACATTTTAAAAAATGAGGTTAGATATAAAAGAACAGCAACAACCCATATTTATATTTTTGCTCTCAACTACCAGACTGTATCACTTTTTGAAAACATTCTGCTATCACAAATTGGGACACTTGACGATTGGATACAGATGAAAAACAATTGTCATCCGTGTTGCAAAGATACTGCTAATGTACGGTTAGGTTCAGCCTACACCATAAAATGAAATTGTTTACAGTTGTGTTTATAGCTGTTGCAGTATTGCCAACTCCAACAATTTCAGCATGCCTTTTATGACAGTTGGTGGTTTTCTCAAAGTCTGAGCTCTCTTGTTGTCCTGTTATTTCATGAGAATATGAGCTCTTGTTGAAAAAATGAAATACATTTACAGCCCTCTTGATTGTGGAAAGAAGCTTGAAAACGTGAACTGAATGGTGACAAGTCTCAGAGGAGTAGCCATGTTAGTCTGTATCCACAAAAACAACAAGCAGGCCTGTGGCACCTTAAAGGCTAAGGGTATGTCTACACAGCAAAGTTATTTTGAAATAACAGCCATCTACACAAGCTAACTGCTATTTCAAAATTAATTCGAAATAGCGGAGGGTTTATTTCGAAATTGGTAAATCTCATTCCACGAGGAATAACACCAATTCTGAAATTGCTATTTCAAAATAAGCACTGTGTAGATGCTTATTTCGAAATAGGGGGCCTCCAGCCCTTCTCAGGGTGCCCTGCTGGCCACTCTGGCCCCAACCAGGAAACTTCTCTCTTCCATCCCCTCCCTGGAGCTCTTAAAGGGGTAGACTCTGGCCGCAGTCTCTGTGCCAGCTCCAGGCCTGCCAGCCCAGAGACAGTCTTCGCTGCCCCTGACTTGTCCCAATATGAGCCAGCAAGCCTCTGGCAGTCAGCCCTCCACTGCTCCTCAGGCCCAGTCCCCCAGCTCCCAGGAGCCTGCCAGGGGCTGGAAAAGGTGGGTGCCTTCCTGGTCCAGGGTGGAGATCATGGACCTCATTGAGGTTTGGGGGGAATCCTCCAACGTCCAGGATCTCCTCACTGGACAGAGGAACGCGGCTGTCTACAGCCGGATGGCTGCCAGCCTGGCCACCAAAGGCCACATCTGAGCACAGGAGCAGGTTCAGATGAAAATCAAGGAGCTGCAGCAGGCGTATGCCAGGGCCACAGGGGGCAGCTCCCAAACAGGGGCAGACCCAGACCTCTGCCCCTATTTTGATGCCCTGGACCGCATCCTGGGGGGGCGGGATGGTCTGTGCCCCCCAGGTGGTCATCAACCCTGGCTCAGAAGCCCTGATCAAGGCACGGAGGAAAAGGAGGAGGAGGACTGGAAGCTGCAGGAGACCGGAGGGAGCGTGCCGTGCACCCAGGACCCCCGAGCCGTCCCAGTGGGCCTGTTGCTGGTGTTGTCTGAGGCCGGGGAGGCAATAACATGTGAGTGCCGTCACTGTCCACTTATGCGGGGAAGGGCGGAGGAAGACCAGGGAGTGCGTGCGTGGGCCTTGTTAACCACGGATCACACAGCAACCTGTGCACGCATGAGCACATGCTGTTCCACCCCGGGGCACATGGCCCCAGCTGGCTGCCACACAGGGGCCTTGGCCTGTTATCCACACGCGTGTGTGAAGACATATGACATGCGCCTGACCCCGGGGTGGGACACAGCAGGATGTCCTCCCTTCACAAGCCCCCTCTACACAGAGGCAGGACACATCCTCCCCCCCCCACACCCACGCTATATACAGCACAGGGGGCATGGGTGCAGTCCCGGGGATAGCAGTACATCCCGAACATGGCCTGTGTGCAAGCACATCGGCTCTGATGGTGTGGAGACCTGCTGTCCTC